ATAGTCTGTTATGGTTGAATAGAACGTCAAGGATTCGGAAAAAGTTATATATTGATGCCACTCTTGATAATGTATGTCTTTGCAACGCTGTTTAAATTCGCCAGAATACATTTCTCGTTACCAACATCTTGTGCTATTCATACATAGCCGAAACCGTATCTAAATAATAACATTCTCACTTTTGATACGCAGTTCTCATCCCCGTTATCATTTAGTCTTTTTAACATTAATTTTCATAACATTTCTTTGTATATCAATATGACGGTTACCGTAAAATCCTCATCCAAAACGACAGAAGGCTAATATAGACATATATTTCAATAGGATAACGACCGCATTCTGCCAGTGCGCCTTTACTTGATGCCCTAGAGCCAATCTGTAATACATATTTACAAAAACTTGAATGAACCTTTTGAATATGTTTACGGTTTTCCCATCCCCAAAACTCAGCCCCCATATAGAAGTATAGGCTTAATCTTGCCATCAAACAGCTTGAATGCTGCCTCAATTGGCAGATTTTGTATTTTGTTGATAAAACGTTTAATTGGGTAGAGTGCCTTTTCTGCTTGTTGGGAGAGTGTCTCACATGCTTTTGAAGACATGTTTCTGCAGGAGAATACAATGCCAAGATACTTATAATAAAATGTAGTTTCAATTGACTGTCCATTAATAAACCATTTTTCATATTTCGATAAAAAGCCTCCCTTCTTAAAAAGGACAACTTTGGTTTTATTCTTGTTTATAGTTAATCCCCATTTCTTACAGTATCTTACCAAAATATATATTTGCTTTTGGAGATTGATAACAGAATCTGCAAATATAGCTAAATCATCAGCAAAAAGCAATATTGATAATGGTTTTAGGGATTCATCAATAATTATGCCACTGTCGTCAGATTTCATTATTTCATTTACAAGTTCATCAATACACATTATAAATAATACTGGTGACAATATACAACCTTGTCTCACTCCACATGATGTATTGAACATGTCAGTCATAGTTGTTTTACTGATCATGAAGCCTTAAGGTTCTTGTAAATATTTGTTAAAAGTTTATGGACTTTACCATGAATACCTCTTTGCAACAACAAGTAGAGCAATTTGCTCCTGTTCACTGAGTCAAACGCTTTTTGGAAATCTACAAATATACAACAGAATTTACCTCTCTTTTTTCTAATAAATCTATGGATAACTGAATGTAACATAAACGTTTGGTCACTGGTGGAACATCCTTCTCTAAAACCAGCTTGTGATTCAGAGATAAGGCGCTGTGTTTCTACCCACGACTGTATACGGTCCTTCATAATGGAGAGAAATACTTTACTTATTGTGTCTAGTATTGAGATACCGCGGTAATTCCCTGGATCATTATTTACACCAGACTTGAATAAAGGTACTATTAGTCCTAAGTTCCAAGAAGACGGGAAACATCCCGTATCAAGGATTTGGTTAAATAGTCTATTTAGCAAAGGCAACAAAACTATAGAAACCTCCTTAATTGACTCGGCGGGTATACCATCCTCCCCCGATGCCTGATCACATTTCAACTTTTTAATAGCATTAATAAAATCCTGATCACTTATACAGCTGGCAATTTCAATATCACTCTTATTACAAAATTCACAATCGTCCATATTGTGACTAGACAAGAAATCAGAAATATGTTCAGCAATGTCATTATTTGCGTTATCAGGGTTTAGAAATTGTTGAAAATATTCTGGCCACGTCTCAGGTGAAATAACTTGTGAGCAAGCACAACATCATTTGATTACTCTCCAAAATCGTGTACAATTCTTATCGTTCGCTGCATCAATAATGTCATCAAGTATATCTTTATCATATTCTGCTTTCTTTTCACTACAAAATTTCGAATCTGTTTTTAACTTCAAGGTATTTTCTACAATGCACAATGTTATTTGTTTTCCTAAATTTATTCAAAAGTTTATACTTATATCGTTTAAGTTGTTCACATTCCCGATCGAACCACTTGGGTTGAGGTTTGAATTGTGTGTTGTTGATATTCAGCCTGTCTGGTTTGTTATGCTTTGAACTATATGAGTTCACAGCGTTAAAACACTCACTAAATAATTCATTGAATGTATGTATGGTTTTATCTATGTCCTTATTCATATGCTCATAGAAATGCAATGAATATTTGCCAATTACACTAGATAGATACTGATGGATCTCACCACGCACGCTGTCTGTCCACACAAACCTGTCTACGTGCTCTACCCTCGCAGAAGGTGCGCGTGAGTGGGACGAGTCACGTGGTATACCTATGTCAGAGGTTAAACTCATCTCCACTGTTAGTGGTAAATGGTCTGATTCACTCCTACATGCGATATTCAAATCAGTTATATGTGCGTATAGATCAAATGATACTATGCAATTGTCTGACACTATTCCCTTGCTGACTTATAAACGTGAAATCCCCTGATCTATCATTTCCAGCCCTCCCATTCAGGATATCCATATTTAAATTGCGACATATTGATAGTAATTGTTTCCCTTCATCATTTATCACAACATCTTTAGAAGATCGTAAAATATCAAAACCATCATTGTCATATTCAAATTTCAAGTGGAAAATAAGACGTCTCATCGTTTTGTATGAAACATTGCTCACTACCAGTTCGTGCGTTCATATCCCCACAAAGGAGGAAAGTAGCTGGTGGGTATTCTGTTGATAGGGTCAGTAGTCTACTGTCCAACAGGTCCATACCACAAACTTCTTGATAGCTATTAAAAGATGCCTCTGAACTTGTGACGTATACGAATCCAAGGATAACCTGTTTATCAAGGCTGGTGTGGAGAAGGAATAAACAATTTGTCCATTCAGTATGCAGTCTGCTAAAACTGTGGGCAATGGAGTTGGCGATGTAGACAGCAATACCCCCGCAGTAACGTCCTCGTTCAAAGCGACGTTGTCTCACACACTGGAAACAGGTGTGATCTGGAAACTAAGTTTCAAAATCTGCAGTGTTCTTGGCCCAAGTCTCTATGAAACATATGATATTATAATTTGAGCACAAATGTATCAGATTATTCTTTTCTGACCGGATTTTAGAATAAAGTCCGATAATATTCCATGTAAACAACTTAACAGATTCTAGAAAATCGGAGTCTGGTATTTTATTTATCTGTATTTCCTCAATAGACTGGCCTCGGCCGCACCCCTAGGTCTCATGGACACTGTCACTTCGGGCATCCGGGTCGTCGGAGTTGACTTGTCGTCTGCTACGTGGAGACCTGTCCCCGGACCCAGAGGTCTGTGTGTCGGCTCTACCCCGAGTGTCGTCAGCGAGACGTTGACGTGTCCCTATCTTGACGATGGACTTTTTACCCCAATCATAAGCATAGACATCGCCATTTAGTATCAGTTTGTTATAGGATATGTAACAATCGTCGCCATTGTCCCTATGGTGTTTTACAAATTCTCCTAGCTTTCTGCGTGTCTCTCTCACTGCCTGTGTATAGTCAGGTGACAATCTGAATGTTTTGTTACCACGTAACTCATCTCTGGCAGCTTGATATACACATCCCGTGTCTTTGTACAATGAAAACAACACTATGATGGGACGTGGTTTTCTCTTCATAGGCAACATGTGAGCGCGCTCTATGTGAGTGTTACGTACCTCGGTCTCACTTATATGTAGTTCGTTACACAAAAAGTTTTTAACTTTATCTTCTGAGCTTGACCACGTTTCGTTTTTTTCTTCATCCTTAATTCCAAAGAATATAAGATTGTTTCTCCTTGACTGTGACTCTAATTTTTCGACTTTATCTGACAAAATCATTTTTTCATCCTCTAGTCTCTCAATAGTTTTCCACATGTTGTCCTGCTCCGACTTCATGGTCTCTATAGTTGGCTCGAATTTGTCAAACTTACAGTTGAGACTGGAGAGCTGGTGCTGTATATCCTGCAGTATCCCGCAGATACTTGTATCGTCAGTATCGCCTGCAGCAGCATGCGCTCTCCGCTTGTCTACCTGGATGACAGGGACAGTCTGCTCTGGGTCTGACGTGTCAGGGGCACCAGATTTAACTCCACGTTGCCACTCATGATGAGTAAAATTCCGATAACAATCAGAATTTCCAGTTGTCTTTTCAAAAAAGCACCCCGATAACACTAAACCACATTTGTACTTGGTTTTTGTACAATTGGGCTGTACATTTATACGCTGGAGCTGAATGTCTACTCCCATGATGTCATGTGCGTGCTACCCTCGCCATTGCAGGTGGCGCCACCCCCAATGACTAATTACATAATAAATATAATCCAACAATTATATAACAGATAAATGTTTATTTCCCATGATTAATTGCATACTAAAAATAATCCCGCATGTGACTCAACCAGAAATAAGTAATGGAATCTGTAACTTACTGTGAAAGTGTAATCCCCAAAATACCATATGTTACAGCTTTTTCACGGAAACAGTGCAATTGATACAAAACTCATTTGCCCAGAAATCCCCAGCTCCTCTGACAAGGACTTTACAAACTTCTACATGCTGTATAAAAGTTAAACTACGCCGAGTGGACGAACTGCAGCCTGTGGGCGAGAATACATTCCTTTTCTCAACAATCGTGGGTGATTTGAGTTTGCAATTAATGAAAGTGTGTCTACAGGAATCAAGGCCCATAGTTCAACTCACGTCAGCAAAGATACAACGTTATCAACATGTCTCGTCTGCTCGAAACGCTAAAAATTACCAGAATTAATTATATAAGTTAACATAAATTGAAAATACCTCAGCTTTGAGCAAGGGTATATTTTGACGATAATACTTTCAATTGCTAAACACTTCCGTTCGGGGGATCGAAAATGCTGTTTTTCTCTGCAAGTGCTTCACACAATAGTACTGTAGAAATATTTACGGGGATAGAGGCTAAGACTTGGAACAGGATCCGCCCTTAGAGACCTCGGGTAAATTGAATACATTCAGATAGTTGATTTGAAAATCACTTGGCCAGAGACTTCAACCATTCACCATGCCAGTATCTCTCCACTGAAAGTGAAATATAACTTAATAACGACCCATTTGAAAAGCAAGGAATTATTTTATTGAATATGTGTCTATAACTATTATGACATAAACTGCAACTAATTGAACTCAACTCAGATAAAGCACAGCGTTATTAACATATCTCGCCTATGGCTGAAACCCTTTGGACTCTTAGTGCCATCTTGTTATTCAGGTGACTGCTTACAATAATCGTGTTGCTTTAAGCGAGTGTGTCACAGCAGTGTGACAATTACAAGCGTTCTCGGGGAATGAGCCTCCAGGCACGAGAAGCCAACCACTACTGACACTCACAGGTTCCGTTCATTCCCGAGCACAGAAAACTCCCCGAGATCCATTAGCATTACCAATCGTGGGCAGGTGATAGATGAAAGGTGAATTCGTCGTAAATTCTGAATGTGAAGCAGGATGCTTTATTGCCCAACAAAGCTGATACGTTCAGGTCCAATTTATCACGCGACCAAAGTATAAAGGGAAATATCAGCGACGACCCGCTGAAGAATTCTGACACCAAAAGACAAGCAACATTTTGTTCAATTTATTAGTTTTTCGAAATTGAGCAGGGGTTGTTTTATGGTTTGGTTAAATCCCAAATCCGCCTGGATCAGGATCCTTGCAGCTGGTGCCTTGGTTCACCAATACATATTCTTGTTGTGGGAAGAGAGGATACCTTCACTTTTCAAGAACACCAGATATAGCCACAATTTGAGTGAGTGAGCATGTTTTTACGCCACTCTTAGCAATATTCCAGCAATATAACGACGGGGGACACCAGAAATGGTCTTCACAGATTGTACCGATGTGGGGAATCGAAGCCTTGTCTTCAGCGTGACGAGCGGACGCTTTAACCATCAGACTGCCCCGCCGCCCAGAACTATGTGATATGATAGTTATCCCATCCTTATGATACAGTCGGAATCGTACAATTAACGGAACTGAAAGAAGACAGTAATCATGATTTCAGAACCACTATTGCCTTCTTCTTTTATACATCTGAACCCCTCGTTGTTTTCTACCGTGGAACAGAAAGTTGTGGAATAACTAAATACTCTGCGCAGGAAGAAAATGGATTGCCAGTCCTTGTTGCCGCCAAGTCTGATTGGTATTTTAAACTGATGCTTCCTTCATTACGTTTGTTACCGTTGCTGTAACGTCGTATACTCTTGACGCTACCATTTCGCATTACAAAACATAATTACTTGGACCTATTGACGATATCAAATGACTTTCGAAACTAAAAATGCGCACAATAACTTTACTTTTTACGAAAAATATCCGTGAACCTGTTCCCTATGTACCCTTGAAAAGTAAAATCGAAGGTATACCGCAAGCCCTCAGCTGAAGTGTCCTGCTTTCTTCTATATAAAAAAGAAATAGGTAAGAGGACATTATGGCATCCTGCCAATGGAAAAAATGTGTTTGATCTGGGCATTCTAAATGTGCAAGCTTGTATTTTTATTAACTTGTTTTTTAAAATGTAGAAATATATAAACGTTAAAATATATATTTATCAAAAGTAGGGGTACTACTTTCAAATGGTGTATAATAGTGATTTACAAGCTGATATTCTCCTTGATAAACGTAGGTTTCATCTATCATATCAGAATCTCTGGGAACTCGGTGTCACGGCAGTAAAAGCTTGTGGTTGACTGGCGTTGGAAGAGTTAATATTTCGAATAACATCCCATTTACACAAACTTCTCGAAGTCAGAATTGTTAATCTCAGAGTAAAAATAGTTCACCTTCCAACACAACACATTGGAGAGTTACTCTGCTGGGGAAATGCAATTGCACTTCATTCTAGGTCAGGGCGTCCTCGTTACAGTTTCAAATCAGTGTTAGGCGAGAGATCAATTGGACGTAACTCTCCTGTGTGTTCATTTCATGACACCTTCTGTCCAAACCTTAATAATATCAATGGTCTCCTGTGATATAATAAAAATGTTCTATCACATAATAAAATAGTTTCTTGTAATATAATAGAAACGGTCCCTTGTAATGTAATAGAAATGATCTCTTGTAATATAAATGAAATGATCTATAGAAATACAACTACAGGAGATGAAAATAATCCTAATGGTTTGGTTAACGTCTGTATCAGCGTTATTCCATGGGGTTCTCAATAATACAAGTATGACAGATCTACGCATCACTTCAGGTTTCTGCGAGGGGTTCCTGGGGAAACAAGGCCCAGTTCTTGCTGTCTTGCTTTGGCTACGCAGCCAGCCTTGGCACCGTGTGGAGGTTTCCTTATCTCTGCTACAGGAATGGAGGAGGTATGAGCTCTGGTGGTGTTTTCGTTTACGCCTTGTATCATCTAAGTATTGTCCCATACATCGATTATTGGTTATCTACCACCTTAGTACCCCTGATAACTGATGACTCAGTTCTCATTAAAAAATATTGAAACAAAATCCCTTGTGAGTATTTTACTTCTGTAACTGTCTTTAGATAAAATACATACAGGTAGCCACCGTGTAAATGTACTCGTCTATAGTCTATGTACTGTTGCAGCCACTTTCCTGATTCCCTACTTGATCATGATGTTGGTGCTTGGCCTACCAATAATGTTCCTGGAGATGGCCCTCGGTCAGTTTGCCTCAGAAGGGCCGATCACGGTGTGGAAGGTCAGCCCGGCTTTCCACGGTAAGAGCCTGGGCGGTCATTTAAGCCGTCATTTATCAATATACATGTCGATGAGAAGTGGTTGAGCTAGTTGTTTCAAAGATGTATACATTAAGAAATAGTGAGATGATATTTCCTGCAGACAGGATCATGTGCATTATTTCTCCTCGAATCATATATTTGTTGTTTTTTTCCTTTACAAGTTAGTGCTCCTTCCCAAGATGATGTTTGACGACGTACCTGGCATCAATCCGTTCATGTTTTATGAACGATCGATTTTACCCTTTTGCATTTGGCATTGTCGTTTTTCACTTTTGTGTCAGTAATATTTCCTATCCTTCTGATTCATTCCAGGTATCGGGGTCGCTATGGTGACCATCCTTGCCATGATTACCATCTACTACAACGTCCTCGTCATGTACGCCATCTACTACATGTTTGTCAGCTTCGTCAACCTTGACGACACTGTACCCTGGGGGTCGTGTGGCAATCCCTGGAACACCAATTCCTGTAGGTCGGAGTCTTTCCCTTCGCTAACGCTGATGGATGAGGCAAACAGAACAACAACTTTGTTCAGTAAGATCTTCTGGTTCGAATTTAGAAGTGTGTATGAGTGCCTTCGTCTTGTTTTGTTTGGTTTCTTTCTAGCTGTATGACGACGGCTTGTAAATAATCAAATATAGATTAAACAGTGACCACAACCTGATTCGTAATATGGCCTCTTACATCCTGCATAGGTTGTTAGGGAATCCCCTTGTGGTGGCATTATAAGCATATCTTCTTTTATTAATAAAGGAATGAGTGACTTTTCTGATATTTGCTCTGTTTCGACTTTTCATATATATATTTTACTCATTTCTTTACAGAAGAGCTCTACAACCAACCTTGTGTAGAGAGGCTTCTGAGCAACATCTCTGACGTCTACAACTCCACCTTCAACACCACCGACGACCTCAACTCCACCATGATCCAGGACGACATCACCAAGAGATGTCTGAACAAATACACTACAGCCAGTGAAGAGTACTGGGAGTAAGTGTGAGATCGGCGGAACGGGTAAAGGCCAGTTTACAAGTGAAGTGGCATGTTACTATTTTCCTAATGACTGATAATAGAGTCAGTTGTTGCAGTACCGCACAGAACGTTGGCTCTGATTTAGCACCATTCCAAACAAAAATATAATAAACAGACTCTCTTTGACGTTGTTATTGTTGACTTATAATTCTAATGAACATTAATATTTGTTTTCTTTATTATTACGTTCATGCCTTAATAAACGCATACTTATAAGAATCCTGTTTTGTATTTTTTGGCGCCATGTATTACGTCTTCACGAATCTGATGGTTTTGAGGATTTGGGAGGGCTGAGTTACAAGAACATCATTTATCTATTCTTTGCCTGGGTCCTCCTCTTCCTCTGTCTGAAGAAAGGAATAAAAACATCGGGCAAGGTACAAAAAGTGTTATTTTCCCTTGTGGGATGGTCGTCCTGAAGTTGTAGTGATAATTTGAATGTAATCTGTGATCAAGTAGTTCTCTTGTATGAGGAAATGCGTGACCACAGAAAGCAATCAGTCTAAATATTCAGCACATTTGATGTACATTTCAGTTGATGTGGTAAACATTTATTTCCAAGATAGTTAAAAACTTCAATGTCAAAGGAAAATCAATCTCGATTATCTGTCGAAAAGTTTTAGGGTCATAAAAGAAAAGTAATGATGACCCAGCAATGACGCCATTGTGGATTGTCAGTAATTTCTGATATTTTCAATAGAAAAATACAATTCAACATTGTGTTTCACGATCCCCGAAACATACAGAGGAGGTGTATTGGTGTGCAAATGTGTAAGGTTACTGATGTGTCTCTCTCAGGTCGTCTATTTCACCGCCACCTTCCCCTATGCTATTCTACTGGTGTTGCTGATCAGGGGCATGACCCTTCCAGGACACGAGAAGGGCATCGCATTTTTCACGACACTACAGATGACAAAGTTGACCGAAGCCAAGGTTTGTCATTAATCATATATAATCTTATTAGCCAAAAAATATATCCATATCACAAGCATCAAAATAAATATGTTAACAATAGAAGGTTTTAGGAAAACTGTCATGGATGTTTTTGATGTTGAAGAAATTATTGCAAGGAAGAATAACGCTCTGCCTTCATTCCATGCAAAGTGGAAACATTTGATCACCGTATTGCTGTCTTACTGTAGTTGTCTCATGTTTTGTCTTTTATCAGTACTCATAGTACAGAACTTATATCAGTTTGGATGTCCATACATGCTTATTTCACGCACGCTTCAGTACAGTCTCCAACAAACAATGTATTGCTGCTATATATAAATTACATAAAGCTGTTATTAATACATAATATATGTAAATATTTGTACACACCCAATCTGAATGCACACCTACTGAATTGAAATGAATAAAAAGATTTTTTTTTTAAATGGGAATCTTTGGTGAGCTGGTGGTAGATTGAAGGCATGTAGTAGCCTTGGACCACGGTTGATTAATGGGAATCTTTGGTGAGCTGGTTGTAGGCTGAAGGTATGTAATAGCCTTGACCACGTTGATTGGTGGGAATCTTTTGTGAGCTGGTGGTAGACTGGAGGTGTGTAATAGCCTTGATCACGATTGATTGATGGTGGAAGTCTTTTGATGTCCACAACTTATTGGAGCTTTCCGTTGAAGTCTTTGAGGTTGGTTGATAGGGTTTTGACTTTGTCCCACCAGATGCTGTGGTCGGGATTGTCTCGGATATTGCCAGCTATGTCTGATTTAGAATAAAGTTATAATGCTGATCTCTGATGTTCTTTGATTCGGATTGTGAGGGGTTTCGCCAGTATAAGCCTGTCCACAATTGCACGAAAGGTGGTATACAGTTCTCAGCGGTTGTTGCTGGCAGGATGGTGGTTTCCTGTTGCTTTCATGGTCTTCTTAATAACTACATTTATATTGGCATGTATTTTTTAGGGTCTCTTGGTTTTGTGGGAAGGCTGATAACAAAGGTATCTCAATTCTGGTACCTACATCTCCCCTATTGTTTAGTAGTTAGTTTGTTACTTGTGTCTCATTTTTTCAGAAACCACAAGTCTGGTTATTCCAAGGCACTTGTAGGGGTGGTACTGTTACTTGATAATCAGGTCCAAACTAAGTTTGGCTCGTACGTAATTAGGAGATAAACGATAATATTTCATTTGAAACCTCCGGCTAACGCCATCGGTTCCAAATAAAGCCCCGTGCTTCAAGTACTCAATAACACCTGGAAATTGGCCAACACAAGATGTAAATAGACATTGTAAACGCAAAAGAAAAGCAAAAGGTCCACACGCGTGTTTCTCTCGAGTACGGGTGTCATTAGCCGGCTGTTTCGGCTGGTTCCCATAGTAGCATCTGGAACTGCTCATTTATAACGTCATTCCGACTTTACGTCAAAATATGATTTGAATGACGTCACCACTGCTGACGACGTAACAATACAATTGTGTGCGATAATTGTACGCATTAATACGCAGCGGATAGTCTTGCAATTTTAAGGAATTGAATACCATTTGATCATGTTTTTCAACCAATCAGATTGAATAACACAGATTTTCATATTGTACTGATAGACCTCTGGTGATACTGAGCTAAACTTATTGTCTAAGATGTTATGTTTTGTACCCACTATATAAGTAATCTACGAACAACCTGTTGGATCGGGATGGCCCAGGTTTGGTTGAGAAAAACAACATTTTTCTCGACGTGAGTCAAGTTTCTCCTTTGGTCATTGTTTGTTAATGAGGAATTCTTGTCACAGTGTTCATTATTTTCATGTCCAACCTGTATTACATGTAGCTGCTACTAATAAAAGTGTGAGGTTTTACCATGTTTTCTAGTATCCGTATTTTATTTTATCAGATGTGACATCAGAAAAGCAGTCATTATTTTAAGGCACTGATTCTGATCAACAAATACCTACTTGATGTATTGTCACCATTTGCTGGCTGTATTGCAGGTGTGGAGGGATGCAGCCACTCAAGTATTCTTTTGTTTGGCTAGTGGATTTGGCACTTCGGTGGCAATGTCAAGTTACAACAAGTTTAACAGCAACTGTGAACGGTGGGTTGATACTATCATCTTCTCTAGCCTGTAATATCGGTAATGTTTATTTTTAAAATTCGAGTATTTCAGGTTTATGTGTTGACAAGGGAAAAGTGGGAGATTTTAAGATTTTCCAATATGCGTTCGTGACGATGTATGATTGTTTCCATCAACTAGACGTGCTGGTGTAAAACCAGTGTGATGTGTACAACCGCGGAATGCAGTACTCCCAATGGACAAAACACAGAGTTATGTCAGATAGCCATTTAATTACGGTAGCAATACAGCAGTGCAATAGGGCGAGCTTAGTCGACTTCCGCAGTGCTCTCCGATTACCGTATTGCGCGGCTGGCGGGTCTACTTTTCCTTTGAGTGTCCAAAATGAAATCTTTGAACCATTATAGTTATTAAATGGAAGTCGTTTGGGGCCAAATGTTATTTTGTATTGTTTCTTTCGTGATCATGTCCTGGCACTTGATTGTTGACGTCAGGCGAATGGATGTGATCTCTTGTTTACATCTGTGATACGTCCCTTGCGTGGAGTGATACCCAGGTCGGGTACTGCGAAAGTGACGTTTGGAGTTTAGATTTGGAAAAAAACCAATCTGAGTCATGAAAAGTCTATCTATTGAATATAGAGCGTCATACCAGACTAAATATATATGAACCTTATGTACTGAATGACATGACATCTTCTTGTTCAATACAATATGTCCAAAACTACTGATATAACGATCTATGTACGTATTGCATCACAATGTCTGTTCGGAAGGTGTGGTCCCAGCCAGCTCAAAACTGGATTGTGCAACAGAGTGTGACTAAACTCTTAATTGGAATTTCTAAAGGGGGATAAGTTATAATTTGTATCAAGATGTGGACCACTGGTCTGCACCGGACAAGCGGCACTAGCTAAAGCCTGCGACTATGGTCTTTGACTGAAGCAATAATATAAGATAGAAATGAATTTACTGTTAAACATTTTATTTGTAGCATTAAAATAACAGCATATTGCATTCATTGAACGTTTTTTTCATTTTTAACTAGCACTATTTTAATATTTTGTGTAACTAAATACCCCCCAAAAAACAACAACAAACACACCATAAAACAAAAAAAATAAATAAATAAAATACAACAGAAGAAAACAAACTAAAAATAAATGAATAATTAATTTTTTTTATCTACGACACTAATATATTTGGCTTTGTTGTTTAATTGTTTAAATAGAGACAATAGGACTGGTGTAAGTTAGCACGAGCTGAGAGGATGATCCATTTCAGTTTTATATCATTGCAGGGATACTGTTATGATTACTTTCGTCAACTGTGTGAGCAGCGTTCTGTCTGGCTTCACCATCTTCTCTGTGCTCGGCTTCATGGCTCACATCACCAACCAGGACATCGAGAACGTGGTCGACCAAGGTAAGGCAGAATGAACCCTAGAAGTAATACAACTGTAATTCTTTGGATCACATGGGTACAAGCGGGATGCCTTGATAACGTGTGCACGAGGCGAAATATTGATTCCTTTTCGCCCATTCAGAGGTAAATATTTCGGCCAAAATATTCAACACCTTTGTACATGATTTGCATGTGTTAGTGGTAGCATTGGTTTATTGAAGGGTTTTGTAGGTATATATACTAGCACACATAAAGAAACTGTGCATTGTCAAAATATTATCCCAGATGTTAAGTACGATAACAATGTCAACATATAAACTTTAATGGAGGGATCATTAGACCATAACAAGTCGGGAGAATTTCAACTGAAAAGTCCACAAGCGGGACAGGGGTCAAACGACCATGTCACAAGCTCAATAACGGGTATGTCCACCATCGGCATTGAGAACAGCAGTGCATCGACGACGCATAGAGCCTATCAAACGTGCAAGGAAGGCTTGTGGGATGTCAAGCCAGATTCTCTCAAATTCTGTTGCAAGGTCAAGGACGTTATCTGGCGGATGAGGAAGACGGCGTAGACGTCGATCCATCTCGTCCCAAACATGCTCTATCGGGGAGAGATCCGGTGAATTTGCAGGCCAAGGCAGTAAGTCAACGTTGTGGTGTTGCAAGAAATCCATAGCAACCCCTGCCGTATGAGGGCGGGCATTGTCCTGTTGGAATGTTAACCCAGGGCCATGACGTTGCAGAAAAGAACCGCTACATGTCGAAGAATCTGATCCCCAGCCTACACCAGCTAAGTTGCCCTGAACAATAACCAAAGCGAGTTCTTTGGCGTGCTGTTATTCCACCCCAAATCATCACGGAACCACCAAAGCGGATTCCTCTGCAAGACACAGGCCTGTGCATAACGTTCTCCACGCGTCTATAGGCACGTTGACGTCCATCACTATGGGAAATGTTAAACCTGGACTCATCTGTAAAACAACATTTCTCCACCAAAACAAGGGTCTGGGGACATGATTTCGGCACCACATTCGGCGAGCTTGTCGATGACGTTGTGAAAGGATAGGCCGTATGGCGGGACGTCGGTCTGATCCCGTGATGACGTAAACGTTGTCGAACCGTGTTGGGGTGGATACGGCGAAGTCCTGGGATAGTTCGAAGCAGTCATCACTGCAGTCTGAAACCTGTGGCGAAGATGGGTCACCCTTATCCATATATGTCCTGTCTTGGCGTTGTTACACGTGGACGTCCAGAACGTGGCCGATCGATGACGTCATTTGTGTTCTGGTAGCGTCTCACCAGTGCAGAAATGGTGTTCCGCGGCAGGAAATGTGCAGCCACTTGTCGTTGAGACATTCCCCACGGACCATCCCAATGGCCTCATGACGTTGTGCAGACGAGAGCCATGCGCATGCTATGCGTTTCAATAGCCGCTGATTTTTTTGAACGATCGCAAGGGCAGGGGTTGAGCTTTCCAAAGTGACAGTATTGTGTGGCATTCATTTGCTGTTTCTCTTTCCCGGATTGCACGTGCAACAACGTATTGCACGTCTCAAGGACGAACCCACCGACGTCACGGAACGTGGCACGTGCATGCATGTTGGATACATGTCACTAATCTCTGAGTTTGAATCCTTATGTGTCTACACAGGTTTGATAAATTTATATCTAAAATTTTTGTATGCACAGTTTCTTTATGTGCCTAGTATATGTCAGTAATAACAGGAATGTGATACACGCATTTACGGTTTATTGCAAATGTTTTGGGTTTCCGTGAAATGAGCATCTCTTTTGTTTGATGCCAACAACTGTGACTGACAAAGAACTGGATATGCAAGTCATTGTAATCCTTGAAAATCTGTCAAATAGTAAGTGGTAAAATGACAAAATAATTTTAAAGTTTTAAATTTAAAAGTAAAATGAATATGAATATAAGAGTGATTAAACCTGACCAATAACTTGACCAGACGGATGTGGAAGAAAGCACAGAATGAAGTTAGCAAAAAAACAAAACCGATGTTTTGTCTAAAGTCCTCACCATAGATTCCAGTCAATGTCATTACATGTAGGTGTTCTACTACAGTAGCTGACCCAACAATGCATTGAGGAACAACTAATAAGGGTATGCTCATGGTTTGGCTGTCAATAATCCATGAATTCTCCCCCAAACTAATGGTTGCCAGCTCCAACAAGGGTCCACGCTGTCAGGGTGCAAGAAGGACACCGTGTAGAATGCACTGAAGCCTCTAGATCTTCATCTTGATCTCTGCAACCAGCACTGAAAACTGGGAACTTACCCACTATGAAGGTGAAATGTGTGATATCGTTTCAGGGCCCGGTCTAGCGTTCATTGCTTACCCAGAAAGCATCGCGAAGCTTCCAGTGTCATCGTTGTGGGCCTTCCTGTTCTTCTTTATGCTGTTTTCACTCGGAATGGACACTCAGGTGGAATAAAACACACCTCACCGTACCTATATTGACATTTATACCTTCATAAATTAGTTTTTTCTCACAGCCATGACAGAAAGCAATATTTTCCGAACCCAAGAACTATGTTATGTTATAGACAATTAAATTTATTCGCCTAATTAAATAACCCTTAGGCATGAAAGGACGTTATCGTAGCATTTTTGCAACAGTGACATGGTGTTCTTAAGCATTACAAAGTATTAAAAAATGACGTAATGATAACATATGATGAACAAACAAAGGGGAACCTCTTTGGCTAATTTTCTTCTAATATCCAATGTCAGTATTCCAACACCTGTTCATTTCCAAATTGCAAGCATATCACACGAAGGGTTGGGTCTCAGTCTAGTCTCTGTTATCAACAAAAGACATCAGTCCTCGCTCAGAATGGTCAAATTGGATATACTTACTGTCACACCTTGCAGATTTATGTGATTTTCCAAAATACATGCATGACAGAACCATCGCTTATCTTTGTGTTCTTTTTCTGCAGTTCACAGCTATGCAAACAATAGTTGGCGGCATCAGTGACGTCTTCCCACGTTTCCTGAGACCCCACAAAACGGCCTTCACAGCCTTTTGCTGTCTCCCTGGCTTCCTCCTCGGTTTGCCTTCACAAAGGCAAAGGTCGGATTAACTATTACTGATCTTTGTTGTCGTTTTTATGGTTGGCTACATATGTTCCCCTTATTACATAATAAAATGTGCAACCAACTTAATCCGATTCGACATTATAACCTAAATTAATCATCCCAATCCATAACTAAATATTGTAAACAGGTAACAGTTATGCTCGCGGATATGGCAGATGTGACATTCATGGCCATGTCCGTAGCTCTCACTGTCGTCTATGTTTTCCTCCAGGGTGGTATCTATGTGCTGACACTGACGGACTGGTACTGTGGCAGCTATAGCGTGATGCTGGTGTGTCTGGCGGAGATCATCTGCATCATGTATGTCTATGGTGTGTATGCTCTTAATTATTTTCTCAAACTAAGGTGAGAATAACAGCCAAAATTGAATCAGAGGTCTCAGTCTTTGAGATGTAGTTTGGGGAGAATATTTTGCTAGTCATATAGTTTATGTGAAACTTCATTTGTGGCTGAAAATGGCAGCTTAAAATTTGCAGTATGTAGGGTTGGCTGATTTAGGCATAATACACTATAAATATACATAAATTCATTACGAGAATCTGAGCGAATAGCATTTTATGTGTCAGATTACATGATAAGCACGTTTTTATTTATCACTGTCAAAAATGTTGATACGAAGTACATGTTTAAAAGAGAACATGTACTGTTGAGTGATGAAGCAAGGTTCTAATATTTGCTAAGTATAATATTTCTATCCCGCCATTAAAGTATATTTTGTATTTTAGATCTCAGTAATTAGCCACAAGCCACTGTAAATATATGATATGTAGCTAACTGTAATGTTCTTGCATACACGTGATGTTGGAAAATTGATAAACAGGATACTGTATATGGGAGGCATGGTTTTTACAGCAAATAAACTTAGTAAGGTGGCCGCCTTATGATTCCAATGGATTGCAAGTCGTGAAACTTCTTTTAACATCCCGCTTTCGGATATGATGTTAACTAACAAATGTGGTTCCCTAATAATGTCGTTTTTATTGGCAAGCGAATACGTGATATAAATGTCTTTAAGACCCATGAAGATCCGGGTTAGGATTGGTTTTCGGCAACCCATACTTAACTAAAGGGATCGGGTGGTCATGCTCGCTGACTTGGTTGACACATGTCATCGTATCGACATTGCGTAGATCGATGGTCATGATGTTGATCACTGGCTTGTCTAGTCCTCATTAGATTATTTACAGACCGCCGCCATGTAGCTGGAATATTGTGTTCGGTGTTAAACAACCAACAATCAAACAAGCAAACAATCATAGCTCTTTATAATCTTTTGTATCGTTATTCAGGTGTGAAGCGGTTCATGGAGGATATTAAGATGATGCTTGGTCGCCGTCCCAATCCATATTGGGTCATCAACTGGGTCTTCCTGACTCCTGCCGCCCTTTTGGTAGGCTCCTCGCTTTAATGTATTTCAGACATATGCTGAACGTAGTGACGGGATGGTAGGCACTTCCGCTTCAAGGTGTCTCTGAAATATGTTGATGGCATGACGGGATAATAGGCACCCCCGCTTTAAGGTGTCTCTGATGATATGTGTGGGGAACGGAATGTGTGATATGATGATATCAAGATTACCTGTACTGTATTATTTGTCAGATGTATGGTCCATAGTGTTCATCTACTTACATGATCAGCTTTACGTATTAGTGTTATGCTTAATATGCTTTTGACTCAGAGGTTAATCACTAGTTCCATCAGCACTACATAGAGGGCGCCATGGAATATACTCATTATAAAATTCTTTATGGAGCCTCCGACGAATCAATGGGGACTAACCTGACCATGTCGGATTTTTTCTTATCAATACAATGAAATTATTCATATAATTAAATTCCCTGTGGATATGGACATTGCCAAGGAAATGTCACGCTTGCATTCAGTGTACCAAGTTGTCCGACTCCGAGACACAGTTTTTGGTTCCTTACATTTGGTACCTCCTAATCTGACGGGTGACATCAGGAGAGTACCGGGGTTTGCTGCCAGAAACACAACCCTTCTGATCATCTGGATTATGGGATATCCAGGACTAAACCCTAATTACATAGCATGTTAATGAGATGTGCTTCCCAATTCATACATCTAAATCTCCAGTTCTTCTCATTATGGTTCCCCATTACGATGACAAATATGTACATGTATTTTAAACCAATATTTCAGAACCCTTGTCATAATACACTGTGTGTAGTGATGTGGTGATACTCCAAGTACCCATTTACAAACTTCAACATGAACGTTTCTCATTTCTTTACAGCATCTTTACTTGTCTAAAGAGTTGTCGCGTTACAGCCTATGATGAGGGTGATTCTTCAACGTAGCTCAATTTGCGAAAAAAAGGTTTATTGCCAGTTCTGAGTGACTTCTGAGAGGCACTTTTTAGAAGTTAGAATAGATGAAGGAAAACTGAAACGAGGTGGATAGTCAACTTCTTTATTGCAGTGAGTAATCAAGCGTGATACTTTGTGTCCCATGCTGCCTGATAACGGTGTTAGTACCTACACCGAAACGCCACACTCATTTCAATAAAGAAGTTGACTATCCATAGAACTTTGGTTTTCCTTCAGTACTGAGTGATTTATTCACCCAATGTATACAAAACAATCTGAATGCATGTTCGCTCTTTCAGTTTCTCTTGATAGTGTCTGCCTCTCAGTACACCCCAGCCTTCTACGGAGACTACAAGTTCCCCCTGTGGGCGGAGGGCATTGGTTGGTGCATGGTTGTCGCCCCTGTTTTTATAGTCATCCTCATCTTTGTGGTACAGATCTTCAGGCTCGGACCTGTAAGTTCGAAACAACGCTTTCTAAATGTGTTAACGCTGTAAGCATTTCCACACAGTTACGATGCTGTTTTATTATATTTAAATTAAGTCGTTCTATTTGGGTGACTGGGTGAGTTTATATCTAACGTCCCATCGGCAATATTTCAGCCATACCGTGACGAGAACAATCTAAACATTAACCAAAATAAATCTATATCATAAAACCAGTCATCGAAGGGCCGTTCTACTGGACGAACGTAACGACACATTTCTTGACATGAGATGACGACATCCCACAGGGTGCAGGATTTTCGCCTTTTTGCTGAAATGTTGACTCAAATTACGTAGCATCCCTCTAGCATGGCGATTATTGTCTATTCAGAGGAAGGCCTTTGTCCCAACACCCAGCTGGGGACCTGCCGGACAGGAAAACCGGACAGGAAGATACTCGGCCAGTGCCGAGGTTCCTGACGGACACGCTTTGGACAGCATCAGTGCCAACACCGAGGACAAACCACCCGCCAAGTACGGTTCTGACAACCATGGAATCTATAGCAGCAAAATGTAAACGGACTCGGTTTCGAGAATATTTTGCTAAAAACTATCGAAGGTCATTCCTGAAGCGATGATATTTTATGTGTTTATATAAATCTTTATGAGTGCTCAAAACTTTCTTTGTGTATTTTATTTTGAAACCTTATTCCAGTTCCAATCAAATGTATTTCGTGAGTTCGGAATTTGAAAAAACTCGATTTCCGTTTACTTGATTTAAGTCGCATTAAAGTATTTTAACAATATATTTTTTCCCCAGTTATACCTAACAGGCTGTATATATAGCCATCAAACGATGGAAAATTGTTTAGGTCTTGCCACAAACCATAATGTCCATTTTAACACTGCCAACAATTTTTTCATTTTTGGTTAACGATTCGATTAATTATTGGTATAAGTGTCCTGAATCTCTTAACTCAACACAAACGAAGAAACATTATTTTATGTCCCCATCAATTCTCCCGCAAACGGATACATGTAGTCTTCAACCCACTTATCTCTCTTATCTTAAATGAACATTTCTTCTGATTTCACAAATGTTTCACCATGTGAGAGACCAGCAATATTAAATTCAGCCGATTTGAAATTATATTGATAACGTGCGGTGTTTAGACGGCGTGTTCCTACTTCCAGATGGCATCTAAGCACGATGTCCTATGCACATGGGTTCGAATCACTGTTTGGACAATAATTTTTAAAAATATAAATCTAGATTTTTGTAACCGTACATTGTTTTTATATGTTATGAGTAACTTATATTTAAAATGTGAACGAAATCGGTGAAGAAATTGATTTTTTAGAAAATTCTCCCGTCACACTCATTACACAAGGGGTGACACTCGCGATGCTAAAAGCCTGATCGAAAACTGGAGAGCCCGACTATTTTAACGTGCGTTCAATCAAACCTTACGTTTTTCACAAAACAATGGATTGAGCTTGTAGATTATTCGTTTAGCCTACTGCTCATCGTGTTCAGTTTGTCTAACTGCATTTCATATTTGACCACTCACCCTCGCATTAACACTACCGTCCGTTTTGAACAAACGTCTGGCCGCCCTTCGGTAAACATCGACACTGTCCGAAAATCTCGGAATGACTCGGAACACAAAACGGCTCTCATTGGTCAATTTCCACGTGTGCGATTATTGCGGAATATTGTTTTGACAGTTGATATGTTTGGAAAACTCGAACATGGTTTTAGAAATTCTTTCATGGTGAGTAAAATTATTTTAGGTGTTAAATGCAATAAAATTGTGCACATAGTGCATACAGCATGAAAATCTAACAGCCTTATAAAAATATCAAGCATGCATTTAGCGGAAAATATTTAACTTCTGTAAATTCATGGATTGTTTTCAGATTATAAATGTCATATGATAGGTCAACAACATTTTCAGTTATATTCAGTGACTTCCAATTATCAATTCATTGTGATTGTTGATTTAATATTCAATATTTCATACAGTTTCCACAGTATAATAAAAAAAAACACACAAACAGTTCACATGTTGATACTTTTATTCAATAGTACATTTCACCAAAACAGATAATTCAAAATCGTCCAGGTATATTAACTTCTGAAATATGATGATAATAAACAAATACCTTATGCTACCACATACTTTAAATCCCATCTTAACAATCTCTTGAAAATGATAATATCCTATGAAAATTGACTTTAAGAATAATTAAATGCTGACACTTTCATGTTGGCAATGTATTATCATTAACTTTTCCCTTGTATAGTACAATTTCTAAAATTTGAAAAACTCTTATAGAAATACTTGTGACTGATCAAGTCAAAGACCTCAACCATTATCAACAATGAAACCATTAAATATCAATTCTAAATATCATCTAGCGAGTCGGTCATATATGAAATAAATTTCAACTTCTTAATCATTCCTGTATTTCCTTACCCCATTAGTAATATAATAAAAAAAGTTAAATAAATAAAGTTAATATTTGTATAGCGCCTGTTCGAACATATTGCTCAAAGGCGCTTAGGCGAAGGCTGTGTTGAACAGTGGGTTTTTAGTTGTCGTTTAAACTGGTCGAGATTGACAATTTTCTTCTGAATGTGCCGAGGAAGACGGTTCCAAAGCCAGGGACCGGCTTTGGAGAACGATCTATCTCCATAGTGTCTTTTCCTATTCATAGGAACATCCAGTGCTCTTGATGGTCTTGACCTAAGATCTCTCCCTGGAGTGTAGGTTGATAGGAGTTCACTGATATACTCAGGAGCTAGACCATGCAGCGATTTGAAGACAAACACCAGGATCTTGAACTGGATACGTTGTCTCACTGGTAGCCAATGGAGGTCTTGTAAGACCGGGTAGATGTGATCTCGTCGTCTGGTGTTGGTGATTACTCAGGCTGCACTGTTGTGCACTCTCTCGAGTCTGGAGAGTGAGTATTCCGATGCCCCATACAATAGACTATTGCAGTAGTCCATGCGAGATGTAACAAACGCATTAACTAGTGTATTCACTGCATCCGTACCAATATGCTTCTTGATCAAGCTGATGTTTCTAAGATGGTAGTAGCATGACCTGCATACAGCATCGATGTGTCGCTCAGATGACAAGGATGACTCAAAACCACACCTAGATTCCTTGCTTGAGAACTGTCACCAAGTTTCAATGGTGGGAACTGAAAGTTTGAAAGCAAATATTTGGATCCAAAGATAATAAGTTCTGTCTTGTCGGCGTTGAGTTGGAGAAAGTGCGTGGACATCCAGTGCTGGATCTCCTTGACACAATCTACGATGGTCGCCTGTGCATTAGCAACAGAGGATGGGTGGAAAGGTCGGAAACCCATGTAGATCTGGGAATCGTCGGCATATAGATGAAATCCCAGATTGTATTTTCTGACAATGTCTCCTACAGGTAGGGTATACAAGGTGAATAGTATGGGACCTAATACCGAGCCTTGTGGCACACCGTATACAAGCTTCTGCTTCTGTGATTCTTTGCCGTCGATGATTACAGATTGGAATCGGTTGCATAGGTACGACTCAAACCACTTCAGAGCATCTCCAGTAATTTCGACACGAGTCTCCAGGAGGGACAGCAGAATGGAATGGTCGATGGTGTCAAACGCTGCTGAGAGGTCTAGTAGCACTAACGCAGCTCCACCTTCAGAGTCGACAGACATTAGCAAATCGTTCTGGACACGTATCAGAGCAGATTCCGTACTGTGACCTAACTTGTAGGCTGACTGCATAGTCTCGTGTAAGTTTCCAGTCTTGAGATGAGCTTGGAGACGACTGGCTACTACACGCTCTATGAGCTTAGATAGAAACGTGAGGTTCGACACAGGCCTGTAGTTCTTTAAAGTATCAGGATCTGAACTAGGTTTCTTCAGGAGGGGTCTTATGAGTGCTTCCTTCAGACATGGAGGAACTTCACAACTTGTCAGTGAGAGATTTACAATTTGTGTTATAGTAGTATAAATCTCATCTGCTGCAAGTTTCAGAAGCCAAGTCGGTAATGGATCCAATGAGCAGGACTTAGTTGGACATTTCAAGAACACTTTCCTTATTTCGTCACATGAGGCAGGTTGAAAAGAGGTTAGTTTCAAAACATGGAGAGATGCTTGATAATATGTGCACAATACCTGACTGTTGGTGAATCTGGAAACAAAACAATATTCTGAGCTTTATCCAATCTTAAAAATACTTTTGTTGGTACTAATATAAGAAACTACTGCCCTCCAACCTTCTAACCCCTTACCAGGGAATGATAGTGGATATCAAGATATCTTTTCATCTATCAAATAGTTTTCCTTACCCAATTATATTTGTTCCTATTTGTTCCTGGATAAACCCTATGGATGGTCTCAAAATTAATAAAACAATCAAATAATTTTGGGTCAATGCATTTCATGGTCTATAATGATAGATTACACAATTACCATATCAAAACTGAATCTTTACTTACATATTTATTTCCCATTTCTCTAAAACTCTTAATTTGTCATGAATATTTCATAACTCCAACAGTTCTTAATATTGCTAGTATTGTTGTACACGATATAACAAATGATGGTGGAAAAAGAGTAGAGTTTATCCACACACAAAAATTGCATTGTTGATTGCAAACAATTGTGAAATATTATGAATTCCTTCAGGTGAAACAATTTATCCAAATTTCTGGAACACTTTCACAAACACAAAATTAAACTACATTTATATAAAAACTATTCATAATCAGATGTAGTTTACAATTAATTCACATACAAAATCAATTTGTTGGGTTACCTCTGTCATTATGTGTGGCTGATGTTTGTTATCAAATCCTTATGCAATGCCAATTATGTCATTGTGAATTTTATACACTTTAAATATTATACATTCTTATTTCGTACCTCCAGTTATGACTTTAGGATTTTTTGGTACTATGTTATGAAAATATGATGTTCCAAAATGAGTATGTGCTATGTAAGAAAATATAACACCTGCGTAGCTTTGCCCATCTGACAGTACATTTTCCGTATGTATACCGAAGAATGTAAAATTGACTGACATTTTAAGCGAAAAAATATAAACGTGTCATAACTCATTGAAGGCACAAATGTATACTGGTATATATAACGCACACTATTTATATGGAGGAAATAAGCTTGATAATATTAAAAAAATAACTGACAAATACATGTGAAACGATGGAGCGTAACCCCATCGATATTAGCGGCTGCCAGCCCAGTTGTCGCCGTATAGTAGTCCTCACTCGTTTCCCTTTCCTCGATAATTGCTTGTGCCCGCTTGGCCCAAAATCAACAGATTATGCATGGCCATCGATGGCCCCTCTCACTGCCCTGTCTGCCATGTTTGTTTGTTGTTTTTCCCCGCACACGTGGAAATTGACCAATGAGAGCGGTTTTGTGTTCCGAGTTATTCCGAGACTTTCGGACAGTGTCGATGTTTACCGTAGGGCGGCCAGACGTTTGTTCAAAAACGGAGGGTAGTGTTAATGCGAGGGTGAGTGGTCAAATATGAAATGCAGTTAGACAAACTGAACACGATGAGCAGCAGGCCAAACGAATAATCTACAAGCTCAAGCCATTGTTTTTTGAAAAACGTAAGGTTTGATTGAACGCACGTTAAATAGTCGGGCTCTCCAGTTTTCGATCAGGCTTTTAGCATCGCGAGTGTCACCCCTTGTGTATTTTATGTAATAAGTGTGGTGCGAGAATTTTCTTAAAAAATCCATTTCTTCACATTTTAAATATAAGTTACTCATAACATATAAAAACAATATACGGTTACAAAAATCTAATTTTCTATTTTTCTAAATTATTGTCCAAACAGTGATTCGAACCCCTGTGGTCCTATGCATGAGTTTGTGAGGGATGTCATCACGATAAGATAGTGATCCAAAACACCTGCTTATTATACAGTCAGAATCGAACATTGGATTGTACATTATATCAACCCACAACACATGTCATATTCAAATATACTGTCCCAAAAATGAAACGCATAGGCATTTTGTATTCTTATAAATTTATTAATTACCTATTGTGTTCAAACATTCGTCAAAATATGTAACAAAAGTGTTGATAACCTGATTGTACACAATTGTAAAAGTCAAAAATCGACTTTACCTGAAAATGTTGATTTTGATGAGATTTCTTACAAGGCACTCACAACGCAACAAAATCACCTTCCAGTTGAAATTGTGCAGCAAAGAGCATGCACTGCCTGGCTATAAAAATCCAGATTACTTTCGGAAATCGACATTCGTTTTGAAGAAGTTTCAAGGTCAAATCATTACGCCACGTCTTGACGCTGCGAAAGGAACTTCGCCATTGAAAGAATGTACGCTGGAGATTATCAATCTTCTGTTGCCAGGCGTCTGAATGTTAGTCTGAGCATGATATCACGGCCTGCAGCTTGTTGCAACCAAACAGGTATAACAAATGACGGTCCCCGTACAGGCAGACCTCGAGTCACCACTGCAGTCCAAGATCGGTACATCCGGGTACTACATTTGCGTGATCGTACTGCCACGGGTGAAAGCACAACAGCCAGGGTGCCTGGACTTCGGTGGATATCCGGTCAAACGGTACGGAACAGGTTGAGAGAGATTGGACTGAGAGCCAGGAGACCCGACATCGGGACCGTGCTACGTCGTCGCCATCGCGCTCAGCGTCTCCGTTAACTAAAATTATCCACTTGGTTGTATGGACATGACCTTCTTCTAAACTGATGTAAAATATCATGTACTAAACTCTATTTGTGGACGAGTTATACATGTTTAAAAATACAACATTTTCGAAACAGTTTTCTGGGTTATGCGTTTCTTTTTGGGAATAGTATATATCATATCTTGCTCTTCAAATAGGCACGTTATAAGCATATTACATTTTTCATCAGTCAGATGGGTGTGTTAAGTGTTTTAGTCACATCGGCAGTATTACAGTCATGTCGAGACTGAAATACATGCAAGTTACAAATTGACAATGAAAACGGTTTACCATACAAGCAAACCGACACTAACAATCTCACCCGTTAAATTAATCTATCAAACATGAAATAGTAATTATGTGCTTACAAGACATTTTAATATAATTTTTTCAATCAATTTTATTCCTTTTACAAAATAATTAAATAGAAAGGATCATTATTTAAAAGATCCTTCATGGATGAACTTTGAAGAAGTCCTTCCTTGTGATAGAAAAATCAATACAGTCAAGCAATCACTCATCACAAGATATACAAAATGAAGGATCTTCACCTTTTAATATATGTTCAGGAGTATGTATCGAATGGCTAATACGACATTGTCGAATAATGACCTCTTCCAACCTGGACTGACAACCAAAGGAGGTTAACGGGTAGTTAGTGTAATTTCATGTAACATATTTATGCCTACTTCGATTTCCTGAGGAGGGTTGAAATGGCTTTGAACAGATTAATATATCACTGTATAGTCTACCGCCGAAGTACGTTAATTTATTCAATTGTGCTGAGGTCTCTATGTTCCAAAAATCCAGCGTATTATTGAATGAAGTACAAGAGCAAGGGGAACCTATGTTAATCCAGTGCCTATCAATGTAGACGAGGGCATTATATTCTGTATTGGTTCCGGTTGTCCAGTGTTATGTTTGACTGTATAGCCGAGTAGTACGTGTAAATAATGACTAAACAACTCAGCACAAATGAATAAGATTGTGAATATGATTTGTAAACCAGTGACCCGAAAGGTAAACGGTAATACATTAAGTGGTGTTCACGATGTTCAGAAGAAAAGAGTGAAAATTCCTGGTAAATAGTTTGAGAATCAAGGGTAGATATCGTTGAATGATTTGTGTGTGTGTGCGTGTGTGCGTGCGTGCGTGTGTGTGCTATGTATTCTTTTATCTGAGTATTGTTTTAAACAGTTTACCAAGAAACGAATGAATAAAACGCTTTTCAATATCATTATATTCAATAATGTATACTTTACAAAACGGGATCGAAAGCTTTCCAAGTACCAACCGAAAGGTTGTCTTAATGAAGCAGGGTGAATTAATATTCACCTATTTTTCTTTCACAGATAAATTGGTGGTATTTTGGCGAATTGGTGAATTAATCGAAAAATGACTGTTTTTAGAAATATCGAAACAATGTTAGGCATTTAACACTGGTATAATACGATTACATCAAAACCTTGTAGAACTGATTATGACGAGTTAAAAGATTTAAGCTTTAAAAGTTTAAGTTTTCAAAACGTTTTATGTAAGAGTGAGTGTATGAATGAGTTTAGGTTTACGGCGCTATTAGCAATATTCCAGCAATATTACAGAAATGGTACCCATCTGGGGAATCGAACCCGGGTCTTCAGCGTAACGAACGAACGCTTTAACCACTAGGCTACCCTGCTGCCCTTTTCATGTAATACATGTTCTGGGCATTTCTAAAGTCATTTACAAAATGGATATTACGGCCCTATTTTACAAATATTCTTTTAGTAGCCAAAAAACCATGTTTTGCACCATCCAAGCGTCAATTCACATCGGTACGCATGCATTATGGTGAGTGGTTATAAATGTCAACGAAACCTCCAATTAGGCTATGGTTACACGCAAGTTCCCAAATGATGTCACATTTTGGGCGCTACCCCCTCGAAACAGAGGACCCCTTGCAGAACTTACACACATTATGGTCTCAAAATATGTCAATTATGTCATTTTGTGCCATAATTGCAGCTCAAATGCACTTGTCCCTCACCACACTTTCAATCTTGTCAGGAAGTAACTGCCAAGCGCCCTCTGTCTGCCTACAAAGGCCGATAATCTAAACTGGAGAGGCAAACCAGAAAAAAAACATGGAGGCGCAGTTGCGCCATAATGGTTCCACTACACTAAATCAGTATCACATGCTCCCTGCGCGAGAGCCGTAACAAGTGAAGAGAGACAGAGACATGTGACAGCTGTGATTGGATGAAATAGTGTAAGATGGTTATGTTTTTTAAAAGCACATCCAACCAGTAATTAAAACTGACCACAATTTTAAGTATTTAGTGCTGTCATTTTTATCATCATCACTTATGCTTATTGTGTGTACAGATATTTTCCAGTAGGTGACATTTGGTGCGGAACTGGGGTTGATGTGTTAAGCTTCCTGTGCTCGCAAAACGAGCCGGACAAGTTGGCCTGATATTTTGTTTTATGGTAGTGTAAAGGCCAGAGTGTACCCATGTGTACATGGAATGGCTGTTGATAGCCTGGATATTTTTAAAAAAGATATACGGTTACTATAGAAGTCTATGGGAAAACATTTGGTGGTGTGTAACCTGTAATGATTTCGCGCTTCATCTGAACCAAGAATTAAGATTCAAATAATATAAGGATAATTAATAGATTTTTTTGCTATGAATCCATTCATGTCATTGAACATGCCACTGTACATTGCACTTGAAAGGTTAGTAATGCAAGGGGACTATTTAAGCTACAATACAATTCTTAACAGCAGGAGGTCCTAACCTCTTCATACCCCACACGATACAGTCACAAGAAGCTTACACCAGTATTTCATTGTACTGTCTGTGAAATAAGAGCGGCTAACGGCATGTGAGTAGCCTATGTGTCACATGATGTCAAATAAGTCTCATAAACATGGACATAAGATGGGTTTCTTTATGTTTGCAATTTGAGAGTAAAAGTTTTAAAATTTTGAGTAAAAGCACTGGAAAGTTTTACAGGAGAACATGTTTGTTTTCTTATTCAGTAATATATATGACAAATGCTAAATCATTTCATCACTGTACAATCAAACTACTTGAGATATTCAATGACCATCAGTCCTCAACTGCTTACTATTTCCTGTCTTTAATTCTGGTCAGACACTTGTTTCCCTACATAATGGAAGCTGACCACTTGTCAGCATACATTCAACATCACATTGAACATTATCCATGCCATGTACTCATGATTACAGTCTGACCTTTAAACAACGGAAGCTGACTATTACACAGCTAACGGTTTAGGGTAGGATTGAATCAATATCTGTTTCAAGTCATTGTTTTGGGAAAAATTAGCCATTAATGCCTTAGTCATAACATCAAGACTGACAGTGTCAGCTCGTTACATTGTTGTAAAATAAGGTCAACCTGAAGGTCACACACACACCGGTATGGGACTCCCGAAGGAGGATGGGTCACACAAGGGTCACACCTATGTTACGTCATAAAAAGAAAATGGCAGATATGGGCTTCAAACAACACCACACACACACACACACACACACACACACACACACACACACACACACACACACACACACACACACACACACACACACCACCCTTACAACAACTGCTGGAGAATTGCTAAAAGCGGCGTAAAACCATACTCGCATTAAATGACAGGTGAAAAGACAATTTGTACCTGGAGGAACCGCCGTGATCCAGTGGATAATGTGTCTCCGCAGAGAGCGGAAGGTCGGTGGTTCGATCCTCGGCAGCGGATCCTAAAGACGTTAAACGTTGGTACCCAGCCTGGTGCTCGGTGTTAACTAGCCGGGTCTGAGTCGGTATTCTGCGTATCCATTCTCAAGCGCACGCTTACGTAAAATATACATCAGAAAACTGTTCCCTTTGTATCATGTGAAAACTGACATCTGAGACAATAAAATACCTTGCAACACGAGGTCATGGATATCTCTTGGCTACCCCTGTGAAGGTGTTTAATGAACACTGGTAGACATGTTTCCGTAGTTGCTTCTCAAATTGAAACACAGATAATCAATGAAATCTGAAAGAAACTTTGGTCGATAAATAACCGCACACGGTCAATGAGAAATTTAAAATTGTACTTTCAAATACAGGGTTGGTTCAAAAGAGTAGATATAGAAAAATGGGTCAAAATATGTTGCTGCCACAAAATACAACTGGCCAAATTTTTTATGATGGTAGCTACGCGCCTGTCTTTTGCTGTAAACAACCAGGAGAGGATCTCATATCACATAACAACCAAATATGATATACGAGCGCTTCAGTCAATTTGCCACTTATGATATTTAGAAATATTGTTACCATATCACTGTAACTTATATCTATATTCAGACCGCCTTCGTGGTTAGATCGTCCGCCCGGAGAGCGGAAGGTCGCGGGTTCGATCCCCGACCGCGTCATACCAAAAGACTTTAAAATATCGTACTTGTTGGTCCCTGCCTGGCGCTCGGCATTAATGGATACAACAAGGACTGGTCGGCTCGGCGTCGGTAAAATGTGTCTGAGTGGGGTATTAATGCTTCACTGCGGCATGGTATCTCAGTGGGCTAGCACTATAAAAGCAGCTTCAGTCTCGGCTAGTACAAGCAGCCGCACATACACATACACACGCATGCACGTCGTCATATGAGCGAAATATTCTCAAGCACAACGTTAAAAACAATTTCACCTCACCTCACCTCACTTAGTTCAGACGGACAGTAGGATGCTTTGGCTGATCAACTATCAAAATACGAGGGGTGTCCCAAACGTTTCCGGCCTGCCTAACTAATATGCGATCTATATGAAAATTGTAATTTATTAGTTTTCAACATAATCCCCTTCATCTCAATCCCTGACTGGTTAAACCGTTTCTTCAGTATATTTAACCCGTCTGAAAAACCGTCTACAGCAGTGATGACCTCATCCGTCTCAAGATCTGGGTTAGAATTGATCTTCAGTAACCCATGCTCGCTGGCTTGGTTGACACATGTCATCGGTTCCCAATTGCGCAGATCGATGCTCATGCTGTTGATCACTGGATTGTCTGGTCCACACACGATTATTTACAGACCGCCTCAATATAGCTGGAATATTGATGAGTGCGGCATACAACTAAACTCACTCACTCACATTTAAGGCGTGCCTCCTTAACCACCCGCCCCTAACATTAGAGACTGTACACATACAATCCTGGTGTAAGTACAGGACATATATTAAATCATATTCTTAGATATTTCATAAATTATATAATCATGGTTTTCCCGTTCCTTTCAGCTGAAAGCATTCAGCCCCACGGACAGCTGGGGACCAACTAACCCCGAGGATCAAACAGACAAGTACGCCGGCCTCAGGAACGAGCCCATCATGGTGTGCAGCATGAGCGACATCAAGCTAGACAGCCCTTCCTACATCGGCGGGGTGTACTCTCCTCCCCCCACAGGCGGAGTGAACACTGACTCCCTTGCCTCCATCGGCGGTGTAGCTACTCTATTGCGTCATTTACCTACACTCCAGGATCAGGAACGATTTGGACAAGAACTTGAGACCGCTACTTGATGTCACAGAGGACAAGTACAGTTTATTGATGGGATTAGATGACCCTTTCATTCACATTCCATGATGAAGATCATACATGTATTTTATTTACAAGACACGCCTTTTAACAATTTACATGAAATTTAGTATTGATACCATCTAAATACCATCGAAACTTCAACCATTAGCCTTCGTCATGGTTTTAACTCATCAACATTTCCACATGAAGAGTACACAAGCCGCCTTCCAGCAGCTAACCATTTATAGTGCTATGTTCTTATGGAATTCATGTATTTTTATTCGGTACGTTGTTAATAATAATATCCAAACCTGTATCTAAAAGAACGAACCATTCGGTGCATGTATAGGTTCAAATGACATTGCTATAAAATGATTACAATTGTTTGAGTCACATATTTTTGGCACATTCTTTTAACTTCATGAATAATTATTGAAAGTGTATTTACGATTTGAACAATATGTGCTGTTTTATGCTTTCAAGTCTTATAACTTTTAGTTATTAAAGTATTTTGATATATATTCAGCGTCGCTATATATCGAAAGTGCTTTTGGCACATCTGCCAGTTCCCACACTACCCCGTTCATGAATCAGGGTTGATCCTCGTGCATATCAATCGGTCATTTCAGCTTTTGCTCCTGCCTTTTAAAGCCGATAAATGCAAACATGGTACGATGATTTTGTAAAACCTCCAGGGCGGGTAACGTGTATCAGTCTTTGCTATTTATCTATTTATCATGACATCCACTGTACGAGTCCGGCTATAATCCTATCCATGTGTCGATGAACCGCTATCAAGCAGTGAGACCAAGTATTCTGGAAAAGGTGAAAAGCCTCATTTTACCATCATAAACACATGCAGAGGCAAGTCAAGAGTTCGTCTTGACAAAAAACAAACAACTCATGATGGAAGCCGAACTAGGGAATTGCTTCGGACAACATTTTGATACTGACGGCGACAAATTTGAACATGACCTGCAC